GTGTGAAATTTGCCTCTGTCGGTGTACGTGGAGTCAGACGACACAAGCATCAGTAAAGATTTGAAAGCAAATATCTATTGTATTTTCGCAATGGCAGCAGCACAGACTCAGAATTTCGCAAGATTTGTCCAATGGGGAAGGAACGTGGTCGCTGTTGGAAGAAATTATAAGTACGTTGATATATTTTTACGTTGAGAAAACATGATCTAGTTACAAAAATATCCATTGAAAATTACGGTTGCATGACGTAAAAGAACAATTACATGTTCCTTTGTTCTTAACCTGGGGTAGATAGCGACTGACATTCTTTGTATTACGCAGATATTAGGATAAAAGAAAATTGTGGCATCGAAAAAATAATTTCGAGTCACACCCATAATTCTGCGTGTCATGATGAGTGATTGCAATTGTCCTATTTTCCGAAAGCAGAAGAAAAGAGAATATGGAGTAAATATATCGATTGTATTCCTTATAGGTGTGGAAGGGCCAGCCACACTTACTTTCATTATTCATGTAAATTTTGATTGATTTTGGTATTTTTTATTTTACTTCCCTATTGAATAACCTTTATTTTCTGTAAAGGAGAGAAACATCACAGATAAAATGTCTTAACTTTTTTTATTTTATCCCCTTTTCATAAAACCGCCATTGCAACTGTCTTGACTTATCCAGTTTGGTGATCACAGAGCTATATGTTATTTATTATTTTTAGTTGGGATTTAGTTAATTGTGTCATTCATTGTAGTATTGTTTAAATAATCATTGAGAGGCTACCTCATTATTTCCCAGACAATAGTATTCCAATATAGGTTTTTATAAGTGTATCTGAATGACACTTAATTAGATATATAAAGTAGTAGAAAAAAAATAGTTTGAAGTGGATTTGGATGTGTTCAAGAATTTTTACCACCTCTACTTCTGCTTGTACTTTACAACTTTTTTTATTAACTGATTCGCCTTTTTTGTCAATCAAAGCCTCTCATTTTTCATCACCTCACTTCTCATGACATATCTGGAGCTTACCCAACATTGTTTTACTATGATAACTTTTCTTTTACTTAACAAACCATCATTGGTTAGTTTTTCTACACACACAATAACTGAATGCCTGATGACTTTGTAATACTCTTATTCTTTTTAATCCCTTAAAAATCCAATTCCTTTTCCCTTACCTTACTGCAGTATTGGAACTGTAGTGTCATAACTTTTTCCTCTGCTGAAAATAGAGTGATTTTTTGGTAAGTCTCTTTTGCTTGCTTTTTATTTATGTAACCCAAAAATAATATTTTCCTCTCATATTTCAAAGCAGTTCCAGTATTGGAATTTATTAATTCAGTTAGCAATCTATAGTACTTGCACTGCCCATTCACTGTTATCACTCAAAAGTGACAATTAAACTTTCAAACCTTAAACCCCTTGATTTATTATTAATCTTTCTGATACATATTTAACATGTAGCAAAATAGCAGTCTTAAACATTAGTAAATTTGATGTAATCATTGATCAATATGGATGTACATTTTAAATGGGTAATGTTCTGAATAATTAACCCTATGCTGCTGCATTAATGTAATGTTCAGATGTAACTTTCTGTTTTATGAAATCTTTCCACACATAGATGGCTCCTTGAGTGCTCAGCAACCAAAAAGTCTATTTGTAGACTGAAAATTAAGAAAAAGGTAAATAGGTGAACTAGGTAGCACTAGTAACCTACTCTGTGCTGACTAAGCACCTGTGGAGCCACCTGTGTGTAAAGACACTTACATAACTAAACTCTCAGGGGGCAGTGTGAGTTTATATTCATATATTCTACCATTCATTGAGGACAACCCATTGCTACTGGGATGAGATACTAATGAGAAACACATTTAAAAATCTGTCAAATGTGCATTTTTTCATTTTCAAAAGTGACCATGGTTTTATATATTTACTGATTATGTTGTTTGCTTATTAATATTTTTTCCATGATTATAGGGATCACTGTGCAGAGCTGGGAAATGCTGTTCCTACTAAACCCCTTCTGTTTATGAAACCACCATCTTCATATCTTGAGGAAGGAGCTGGACCCATCCTGGTAAAGCTTCTTCTTTGTCTCATACTTCAGTCATACCTTTAATGATTCACATATTGCTGTTGACAATGTATCAAGCACAGTCACAATAAGAGAGTAACAGTAGATCATGACATTTCAAGTGAGACTAAACTCCTTATCAGATATCAAAATCAAAGTAGTTATATCAGATAAGGTGTGCCATGTGAATTAAACTGCCACAATAAATTGTTCCTTTCTGAATACAGTTGTGTTTCATAGGTTTGCATTATGATAAAAATGTATATTAATTTTCAGCCTTTATTTCTCCTTTTTATTTATATATAAGACATTTTACCACTATATTTTATTATCCAGGTTTTATCTCCAAGTACCTGCATTGATACATTCAACATCTTCACATAGATTGCTATCAAATCTATGCATGGTTACTATTGTACAAATATGATACATAGCACATCGTTATTCTCGGCATATCATCAGTCTAGTTTCTTACTGGCAGAGTTTCATTACATTTTTACCTTTCACTTCCCTTACATAAGCATCTATGTATGTGATTGGATATGCATCATCTTAAACTCTTGACTTGCATGTTTATATTAGCCAGGAGGGAACTTATTAGTATCGCTGACAGTCACACCATATATGCATTATGCAATGCACTATATCATTCTGTTCATAGTCATAATTGTTACTTATTGACCAATGTTAAATGGCAGTTTTTATATAATTTTGGTTCAGAGATAGGCAAATATGCTTTTGTTTTATTTCCAGTATAACATATTTAAAAGTGACAAAGGTTTTTCAAAAAAAGTATTCTAATAGAGTAAAGGAGAGCATCTTGGTTATTGTGCTTTTTCTCTTTTCCTCTTTTTTTTTCAAAGGAGAGAAGGACTTCACAGCAAAAAAATCATAGCACAGCTACTTGTAGGACAGAGTGCACAAAAGGTTTACCCATTTTTCAGCTCCCTCGAGGATGTACCAACTGCCATCATGAAGTGGAGTTAGGGGTGGTGATAGGATCTGTTTGCCGTGATGTGGAAGAAAAGGATGTCATGTCACACATTGCTGGATATGCACTAGCATTAGATATGACAGCCAGAGACTTCCAGGATGAGGCAAAGAAGAAAGGAAATCCATGGACTATGGCCAAGTGCTTTGACACAGCTCTTCCAGTGTCAAAGTTCCTCACTAAGCAAGAGCTAGTAGATCCAAATAATGTGACACTGTGGTGTAAGGTAATGCAAATCAGATGTTTCTTTTTTATATACTTTTTGTTGAAGAGAAAGGAGCATATATTGTAATGTCTGATAACTTAAGTTTATGAAATACATGTCCATTGAAAGAAGGATTATCCAAGGGAACTTTAACTTAAAGGTGATCCTCATCTGAAAGCATCTACATTTTCTTTTTCTTTGTTTTTTTCTGGGGAGAAAGGACTACATTGATTGTCTAGGTGCTTTGAAAAATTACAGTGCAAACAATAGGTTATGGTTCATATCAGTAGTATATACATATATGACATGAGAGCAGCTATGTTGAGTATTAAGTTGGATGAATGAAAAATCGGATTCATAAAAGCTAAGGGAAAGTAGAAAGTCAAAGAAATTGAGTAAAGGGACCAATCCTTTCGCTTAAAAAAAGTTGTCTTGTTCTAGAACAGTGTTTCCCAGGTACTTGTAGATATTATCCTTTTTCCTGATTATTCTCCACATTTTATTGTTAATTTAATGTTTCTTTTCATGATCTGAAATATCAGTAACACAAAATCAGTAATGAATTTTTTTCTTATTTCTGTAATATGTTTTAATAACTTTTTTTGGCTAGTGTAATGTGATTATTTTGATTTATTTTCAGATATCCCTTCCATACACATTTTATTAATATTACCAGTTTTCCATAAATGGATAAATTGCTATAGCATATTACAGTACATTTGATATGGTCACCATCTGGTAACTATATATTGCATATGAATAATCAAACAATGCCTAATTTTAACATTTTCTTTGATGTATTTTTTCTCCCACATAAATATATGGAAAAGTTAAGGTAAATGTAATTGCTTTGTGATGATGTTTTTTTTTTTTTTTTTTTTTTTTTCAGTGTTTGTTTTTCCTCTTTAGCTCTTACCGTCAGATGAATTTACATTTATGATGATTATTTAAAGATACCTGATATGCTTACTGAATTCATATAATTTATATAATGTAATTGTAAACTATTTAAGGTTAATGATGAGATGCGTCAGAATGGCACAACATCGGATATGGTCTTCAGCATCCCCTACCTCATCTCGTACATCTCCCAGTACTTCACCCTTAATCCAGGAGATCTGGTTCTCACAGGGACACCAGCAGGAGTGGGCTCTGTTCAACCTGGTGATGTCATATCAGCTGGATTAGGTGACCTACTGACCATGAAGTTCCCAGTGGCACAAAGGAAATGAGAACTCGATATTCCTCTCTCATTTTCTGCTAGTCTTTCATTATTGTTGTGCATTTTGGGTTTGCGGTCAAATATGATTTTGGTTCTGATGAGAATGGTGTTGGTTGGTTTGCTGTGTGTAGGTATATTATATGTATTTACCAGATGAAAATATCAAGATCAGACACTGGCAATTATTAAATGCATGAGGGTAAAAATAACAGTGCAGAAGTTATGCATCCTTATACAGATGCTCATGCACGTGGGCAAAAGAACATATGTATACACTTACACATACACATATAAGCTACATTCAGTAATGTGCACATATGCACATATAGTAATGTCTTTCTTCAAACTGTCTGTATATCTGAATAGTAATATAATTTACCAAGTATCCAGAGGATTTTTATGTATAAAATATTGTCATTGCTATTTTTATAACATTTTTAAAATCATTACTGAAAATACTTCTCAGCAGTGAACAAATGCTTATCTTCATCAGCATTATTATTATTGTCATAATTATTTCATGATGGTTATAACTATATTTACTGTGATCCTACAGTTATATATATTTGATGCTTCTTGTGCATTTTACGTGAAATTGAATAACAATGAAGGAAATTAGTACACTGTACACAATTTTATTCATAATATCATGTGTCATATTAGAATATTATTATTTGTTGAAGGAATGAGTTTATATATTCTAGCTTCATTATTTATGATTTAAATAAAATTCTTTAGAATTGGATTCACTAAGTAGGCCATCTACTTACCTAATTAGGCATTTATATACTTACCCATGTATTGTACATTTTCAGGGTTTTTGAAAGAGAAATTCAATTATGTGTCCTGCAAGTATATTTGATAAAAGACAATGTTCAAAGCAGATATTTTGATATTCTGCCCTTTTATTTTATGGTGAAGATAGAATCACATTATCTATATATATTGTCAATAAAACAATAAATCATACATGGATTTGTTTTTGTAACAAAGTTGGTTTTTTAACCATATGCTTCCAGGAATGGCCTGTATGTATATGCTATCTGTTTACCTTTTTCCTTGATTTTCAGGAATATTTTATTGTACTTAATGTTGCTGTTAGTAATGTTAATAACATCATAATAATTATAATGGCTATAATGATAATAACAGCCTCAAAATTAATAGCATAGTAAAAAAACGTTTTTCCCATTAACTCAAGGAAAGGTGAAATCAGGTGAGATCATAAAGTCTGCTAATTGACTCCTTTGTGGCTAGGCACTTGTGGAGCCACCTATGTGTAAAGACATTTTAAAAAATAATACTACAATGAATATTACATTTTCCTAATGACAGAGGGTTTATGGAATCCAGCAAAATATTTTCAAAAATATTTGCCCAAAATAATTACCTGAAAATTTCTGAATTATCAGAAGATGATCTTTGCTTAATGTCCTTACATAAGAAATAAAATTCATCCATTCTGTTTGAGTTCGGGTAGAGAGGCTGGACGTAAGGGAGCAAGTACAGTACTTGCCTGCATGAAGCAGATAACATTTTTAACTGCAAGTAGGTCAAACCCTTATAGCACAGCTAATTGCCAAAACAATGTTTGTAAAAGTTGTGTTAAAGCTTAAGTGTACATGATTTAATGGCAATCATTTAGTTCACAGCCTATTTTACCTTATCACAACTTGCCCTGGTACATGTTACAACTTTGCCCATTTTCAGGGCAAGTTTTAGAATTCATGTTTAACTTTCATTTGTAAGTTGCCAAAAAACAAAGGAACAATTGTTTAAAGGCAGCTTATATTTCACTGTTCATGGCCAAACGAAAAAGGTGATGAAATAAAGGAAAGTCTGAGTGTTCATTGTAAGTATAATATTTTTTATTACTAAAATTGTTAAAACTGTCCTTGGCCTCACCTGTACAGTTTTCTATCTGATGCAGTGATAAAATAGGTTTCAGGGGGATTACTTTATTCAGATATGTCTTTTGTATGTGCATAGTGCCCAAACGATGAGGCTTTTTTTAATATGCTGGAAAAGCCTGAAGGTTGATATAAGTTAAACTTCCTCTTTCATCTATTTCTAGAATGAAAGTGAAGTGTATTAAAACAACTGCTATATTGCTTTTATAACCAATGTCATTCTTTAAATAACAAGTTTATTTAGACAGAATGACTTTTGGATTGTAGGTTTGTAAATGAAACTTTTGGTTTGCAGAACACAAAAATAACAGCAATTTATCATAAAGTTAGATGAAGAAGTAAAAAGAATATGAGAAGAAAAATATAGCTGATGATTGTTGCATATATTACTGATTTAAGATTTATCATACGTATGCAAGAACCACATGGGGAAATTTACAATTGGAAATATTTTAGTTGATGTATTGTAAAATGCTGGAGGAAAATGCTAAACCATATTCCAATCTGCCATTTGACCGAGTTTTCAACATGTACTGAAACACTACATATATCAGATATGTCGTGACATTTTTTATTATAATTATCCAAATTTCCTTACCAGTAACATTAACTGTTGTTTAGTTTGGAGTCCATATCTTACTTAAATTCCTTGCACCTTTCCATCGCCAGCCCTTCCCATGGCCGTTGTTATCGTGGGATGTAGCGTAGGAGACTGGGACTGGGGCCCAGTGTTGAAAATTACCCCTACCTTGGGCCTCTGCCCTCAGCTCAACTGATTTTGCATGGTCTTCTCCCTCTTTCCCTTTCCTCCTCTTCTCCAATCCTTTTTTCTGTCCACTTCCTAAGATAGAAGAGCTGTGCTTAAAGTATGAACGGCTTCCTTCATGTCAGGCTTGAACGGTCTTAGGAAGTCATAGGCACTGTATTTCCTTAGTTATTAATCACTTAACCCTTACCCTCATGGGAACCCCGAGGGTAGACCATTTCTCTACTCCACATATATGAGGCTTATCTAAATTTGACTTCTCTGGTTTCCCAACCCCCGCCTCTCCTTTGACCTCAGATTCGACCACTGCTACTACTAACCCCTCCTCAATGCTT